GTGTCCTTCTCTTGCAGTAACTGCTACACCAGTAACTTCCAACCTCTCTTTATAGCATCACTGCCCTGATTGCTATTAAAAATGCTCCTTTTGGGTGGGATGATGCTATCAAAGCAATATGGTCCTATGGAGAACCCTCAGGCAGTACTGCTCTTAATTACTTCACCGCTGAGTTTATTTTTTTTCTCCCATCTACTTTCAAATACTTTTCCCTGCATGCTCATCCCTTCTTTTCACTCTTGCATCAGTAGGGAGAGTCCCAGCCCTCTCAGTGTGGGCAGTCACTGTGGGAGGTGGTACTGGCCTTTCTCACTGCTCTGCAGTGGGGAGCTCCAGGGCAATTCCAAACCCCAGAATATCACCTGTCCCACCTTCAGCAGTGACAAAATATCACTAGGCAGGCTACAGGAAAATAAGCACAAACATCCTCTACCCACCTAACAATATGATCATCTCAAACAGCCAGAAACTTTTAACCAAAGGGTGCCCCATGACTTACTGCTCAGCTCTGAAACATGCAAGGCAAGATTAACAGCAGGGGAAAAATCCCACCCCCCCTTGAAGCAAACATGAAAAATACATATTTTTCCAAGTTTACACTTGTTTTGGAAATTTTGTCCAACATTATAGTTAAGGAAATATTTTACTTGCTTGGAAGTAGACAAATTTTAAAGAATAACCCTTTGTCCAGAACCAACAAAGGGAATTATGTCCAAGAGCTAATCCAGGCAATTACGTGCAAGGTAAATTATGTGACCTTGGACAGACAAGGCTTTAAAACCATTTCAGCAAATGCAGCTAAATAACTCTTCTACTTTTGTTTAAGCAAAGCTGACTGGGTACAGCTTTCCCAGCGAATGACTTGTCTTCCCAGTGGGACGAAAAATCTGTACATAAAATACCTTTAGAAATCTTTAACACAGCTTTTGTCTAATAAGTAACAGCCTGAAATACAACCTTTCCTTTCATCTGTGATGCACCAGGGGATTATGCCAAATGCTTCACCTTTAAAAAAAGATTGTTTCTGCCTAGGCCATGAAGGATGGCACACACAGGGAAAAAAAAATCCAACCTACGAAAACACCAAAAGGTTTTAGAGGATTCAAGCCTGTGCTGGTTTATTCTTTCCTAAGGGTATAGGACAGTGTGTAAGAGATGTGCATAGTTACGTCAAAAACAACACCAAAGCCAAAGCTTTGGTGCTTATCAAAGCTGCTCATCTCCATGGGACCTAGGCAGCAGACAAGCTTGAAGGGAGAGATCCTTTCACTCCAACGCTGGAAACCAGGTTCTGACGGTAACAATGCATTTTTTGCTCCTTAGTGCAGATGCACTTACGCAATTTTTGCTCCTTAGTGCAGATGCACTTAAACCTCTCCTTCCTTTCTCCCATAAGGAAAGCAAAGGGAACACGGATTCATCCAGAAACAGGGCAGATTTGGGCAGGTGGAGCAGGCACAGCCTGTGCACTCCAGCCTTCCCCATTCCAGGACAGTTTCCCCATTGCCATGCTGTGGAGGGCACGAGGAAGGAAAGGCTCTTACCTGAGCAGAGGACTCCCTTGTACCTGGCGCAGGAGAAGTCGTCACACTCGCAGAAGGGTCCATAGATGTTTCCAAACTCACTCTCATAGCAGAGGCACTGGTTGCAGCTGCACTCCCCTCTCCCACTGCAGAGGGGTTTGCCCTCTGCCTCTCGGCACATGGCGTGGTGCATGTCCCCACTGGCCCCTTCCTCACACTCACATCTGGCCCCCAGGTAGCCGGCGTCGCACTCGCACAGCCCACACGCGTAGGTCCCGTTGCCGCTGCACTTGCCGCTGGCTGTG